GGGGGTTCATATCATATGTATATATTACAGAATGTGTACATATTTTCCACTGTGGATTCAGGGAATAAAAGGCTACTTTATATATCTATTTAAAAATCAAAGCTGTTGAAGAACATGTGGATTTGCCTCATTTTCAATTTGGCAGCTTCATTTTGAAGATGACAGACCGGGAGGGGTGTTAGTGCAGATTCATATAGATATAATACCCTGGCTACATTTTCCATAAACAACGCATGAGCAATGTAAAAACACATTTAAGGTGCATTGTCAGCCCAGCTGCGTAAATGCACGTTTAAATTGATAACAGAAATAGGAGCACTCACAGTTCTTTCTCTCTCTGTCACACAAACACACACACACACATGCCCAGACAATAGATGTGGTTGGTAGGGAGGTGGGAGGTGAGCCTTGCCAAACAAAACGACATGTGGGGGAAAAGTAAAGACAGAGCGAGATGGATGTGAAGGGGGGTTGATGACAGACATGACTGGGCACATGGAACGGGCGATATCAGTGGGAGGTGAGAAGCAGGGACAGGTAACGAGTGGGAGAGGTGGGTCGAGAAACAGACAGAGAGTGAGTGATGGAGAGAGAAAGAAAGAGGGGAACAGTTGTTACTCTCCTCTCATGCTTCTAATTAGATATTGACCACCAGTCTTTGTCTGCTGACTCTGTGTCAGTGTTTGACCTGCAGTGACCCCCACTCTAATAGATTGCACAACCTCACTTATGGAGAGTGTGTGTCACTTTGAGAGTGTGTTCTCCTACATGTTACTAGATTATACACATACCCCAGGTGTCTGTGTGCAAACGTTTGCAGATATGAATGAGTGGTTGTCAGCAGAGAAAAGAGAGGTCGCTGATTTATCTTTAAATCCTTTACAGTGTGATTATGATATGTACATAACCCTGTTGGTTTTATGGGTGTGGGTGTGTGTGTGCTTGCCCCTCAATCATTAAAAACACAAGGCGGGGCCTATTAAGCCAGTCCATTCCCCCAAATCCATCTACTTTAAGTCGCCTTATTCAGCATTCATCAGTAGAATATAAACATTTAATGAATGATTTATAACACATTCTAAAGTAGTGGTATCAGTTATATGAATGTCGCTGCAGTCAATGTGGTCTATAAACAGGTGATAAATGACAATATAATGGCATAGATGTAATAAATGTAATGAATATGTCTTCTGTTATAGAAGTAGTTGACAAATATCGTACCTTAAAAATGTGTTTTAAACAGTTTGTTAAAAAAAGACTTACATGTCTATTATCCTCTGATCTGTTCAGTTTTATGTTTCGTCTGCATCTGCTGCCTCGTCTTTGTTATCTACTTGTACAGCAGAGACAAATTGTGTCTAATATTGTGCATATACAATCAAAAGAGCCTTTCATATGCAGACAACATCAAAGTGTGCTGCCTGCCTGTTTGTGTGTCTGTGTCGGTGACCAGCTGTCTCACACAGCTCTGGGTAATGTAATGAGCCCCCTCTGTACTGAGGAAGGAAACAGAGATCCGTGGCTGAAATTACAGACTACCACTCTCCCAGAGGCGCAGAGGCGAGCAGACTGATGTGCAGACATATCTCTGACATCATCAGGAAATGGAAAAATTGCAGGATCTTCTATGGATTACATATTGATATCGCTCTCACCCAGTTACACATTAGTTTGTTAAAACATGCTTAAAATGTCAATAATTCAATTGAGCCAAAGCTCTACATTATCTGGTTGTGTGTGTTTGATTGGATCATAATTTATTCTTCGGGGCCTGCTCCGGCTAACCAAACTAAACCTCACAATTTGTCTCCTTGTGCGAACAACTCTGATGAGAGAGTGTGTTTGGAGGGCAAAAACTGGAACCATAGAAACCGACATGACCATTGGCATGGTGACGCAGCAAATCAGCGGCCTGGTCCTCTAAGGATCCCCTGATGTGATCTGTGACAAGAAATACTTGATGCCTTTGTAATTGGACACTGTATTTACTGCTGTATAATGCAGACAGGCGAAGGGACGGAGAGAAATTAAGTGTGTGCAGGTGTGTGTGTGCGAGCAGAGGTGAGTCATTGTACTGGCTACAGTCCGTATGTGCAGCGACTACACGCATTGCGGCAGAGAGACTGAGGGAGATGTGGAGTAGAGAGGTAGAGCTTGGAATAAAACTGTAAAATAAGACAAATATAAGACGTTAACAGTGTGTCCTCTGACTTGAACCAACACTGGAC